AAAATGCAAATTTTATGACAATAAAATATATTATTAATAATTGCGAAATCTTGTTATTTTTTGTAGAAACGAATTTAACTAATCGGCATTTGGTGAGATCTGGTTATTTAGATTCCGAATTAGCAAGTTCGTTCTGTTTTGGTTTGCAAACAAAAAGCAATTTTTGCCAATTTAGCAAAGGTTGACACCTTTGGCCCCCACTGTGATGACCTTTCGAGTCTCTAAAGCTGATCGCATTTTTGTGATGCTTATTGATTCACTGCAAATCTTGAAGTTTCTCGTACTTTTGCCAATTTTGCTAATCGAGGTTACCAAAGCTGGTAAATTTCTAATCGTTTTCGGTTCTTAAAGGGTTTGATCAAATGAGTTTAGATAGTTGATTGATTCTACTTTGCTTTTTTTGTTTGATGTATGTTCGTAGCTCTTAACTCTAGTTAGTGGTGTTGTTTCGGGCACGGTAGTCGGTACTAAGGCTTCATATGCGGTTTGACCACCGGATATAAGACATGAATTTTTGGGATTTACTCTAAGTTTTCTTTTACCGTACGCAGATTAGAATGGAAGTACTGAACAATTTTTATACTATGTCCAATGATTTTGAGTCAGATAAGTAGGCATTTTTGCTAGTCTTTTTCTGGCGTTTATCTTGTTTTCTTAAAAGTGCTTCTAGTCAGTACCAATGCTGTGTCCTGATTATTTGGATTTGTTCAATGTAGGTTTGAACAGGAACCTTCACGAGCGCCTCATAAAAAAGAAAAACTATAGTCCTTTTGTGCGACCAGTGAAAACGCACAATTCTGCAGTGCTTTTGTTTATGAATTTAAGTCTCATTCAGATTCTGGATGTGGTAGGTTTTTTCTAAAACCAACATTTTAAAGGATGAAAAACGACAGATTATAATCATGAACGCGTGGGTCAATTTGGTAAACATTGAGTAGTTTTATCTCTGATTACTAATCATTTGAGTATCATTGCTTCATTGGTGCTTGTACCAGGTTTTCAGCTCATAGCTTTGATATTTTTACTTCTGTAAACATTTGTCGTTAAACTGGTTGTTGAAATAACTATTTTTAAACATATTTGAAATCGAATGATGCTTGTCGATTGATATTTGTAGGACTGGAAAGATCACAATTTTACTTGGGATCCCAAGGAACACGGGAATGTCACATCGTTACTTTTACCGTCGGAAGATATTTGGACACCTGATCTAGCCCTTTACAATAAGTAAGTGTCTATGTGGAACTTTTAATTTTTGCTTAGCGCTGGTGGCAGCTGGGATCTCGCAAGCTCCTCATCAACTCTAGTTGTTGTCAATTATGATGGGACTGTAACATGGCGTCCTCCTATCATCTTTAAGAGTCAATGCGAAATTAACGTTGAGTACTTTCCATTCGATATGCAGAACTGTTCTATGAAGATTGGCTGTTGGACTCACCACGGTCTTTTGATTGATCTCAGGCATACAAGTCAGAAGGCAAGATCGCAGCCGTCGTTTGATAATTGCAGAAGCCAAATTGATCATGCCATTGACTTATCAATGTTTACCACTGATGTTCAATGGGATCTAATAGGTGTTTCGGCGAGGCGAAATATCGAATTTTATCCCTGTTGTACAGAACCTTATCTCGACATAACGTTTTACATAATCCTTCGCCGTAAACCACTCTTCTTTGGTGTGAATGTAATCTGTCCCTGTATTTCCATTTCCGTTTTAACCATTTTAGTGTTCTATCTTCCAGCAGACAGCAAAGAAAAAATCTCGCTTAGCATTTCAATACTTATTGCTCTGACTGTGTTTTTTCTTCTAGTCTTTGAAATATCCCCACCCACCAGTTTGGTTGTGCCATTAATTGTAAAATATCTTCTCTTCACCATGGTTTTGATAATTTTCTCCACGATTGCAACGGTAGTAGTTCTTAACGTACGAACCCGATCTCCAGGCATTCATAGAATTTCTCCATGGATCAGGAAAGTTTTCATCCACACGTTTCCAAAAATCCTCTTGATCAAGCAATATGAACGAATTGATACATACGTAAGTCCATGGCCTTCTGTTTTTAGGCGTAAAAGGAATGGAAAAATTAGGTCTTATTTTTCTGTTTTAGAACTTCCAAAAGGATTTTTCATCACCTGCGAATGGATGGCCAAGTTCGATTCAAGTATTTTCTAGCGTTAATTCCAACATTTTGGCTGGCTTATCACCAGAGCAACTGGAGGAGTCGCTTAATAAAGTTCGCAAAACAATTCTGTACTTCCGCCAGCAGGAAGAATGGAATAAGGTGAAGTATTCCGGTGACTTATTTTGGCAATAAATTTGGTTTAAAACAAACTTGAGATTAGTATCCAGAATAACCAGGTTTGATAATCCATTCATGCCAACTTCCTCAAAAGGGTTGTTATTTCTGTTGGTGTTAGACTCCCGTAAAATAAGCACACTTTGTTGAAACTAGGTTCGGTCGGAGTGGAAGTATGTGGCCTTCGTGATTGATCGATTACTCTTATGGATCTTCGTCGGAACAACTACAGTTGGCAAGCTTATCTTCCATTTTTCTTAGCCTCAATTTTCATTAAGATGCATTTGTACAATGAGACACACAAACAAGGCATTACATTTTTCACGTCCTTATCCGCGACTGTGTGGATCACATTTTTATTTCACCTTTATTTAAGTGACCTCATTTTCAGCAGCATAAAACTCAAAGTGCTTCATTTCAGGTATAATGTGTACATTTGTGCAGACACCCACGCTATATACCAACGAGCGCGTTCTCACAGCATCAACAGCCCATGCCATGGATGCCATAAACGTCACTCGTCTCTCCTGCGAAACCAAACTCTCCTAGTAGAAATACACCAACCAAGCGCCCCATGAAAATTCTATTTCAACGCTTTCAATCACTTGTGGTCTTCATTGATCAATTAACCTTCAAACAATGGGCGGCGCTGTCCATCTCTACGTTTCAAATGTGCATTGCAATCGGGTGGGCGAAAGCGCATTGAGCTTCATGGAAGATAGTTCTCTTTTCTCATTCCTGGTTAAATTAATTCTTCACTGTGAGCCTACCCGAAATCTGGGAGCAGGCAGATCGCGAGCATAAGAAATTAAATCCGTTAGAAGTCATGTTGAGTCCTCATGATTAACAGCATTCAGCCTAATAAATTCACGGTTGTATTGCAAACGCCTTCAGCATGGCTTGCTTTTTTGTACTTCTTAAGAGGTATACCTCGCGACTGTGAACATCATGCAAATGGACAAAAAAACAAAAGCTAATTA